ATAAATTCGTGTATATTAATCGCATCCGATTTGAGTGGGCGGTTGTAAACATTACTGATTTTTGGCGTAGACATTCCCGCTTTGGAGTTATAGAATTCCTGTCGCATGTTAATTCTGGACAGTAAAATCAAAATGCTGGTCCTCCTTTTTTTTTTAGACGCTTCTTTCTAAAGCTTTGCATTTTACCTCAATACAGCCGCGCCTTTTCTGAATCGTACTTTGCCAGGAGCAATTGACAGGTCGTTTAGCATTTTTATGTGGTCGCTACTTCAAGATTCCTGGCAGCGACGTAAATATTTTTTGGTCCCCAAAGTGTGTTTCATGTCAACTGTATTAATAACCAGACTGAAGTCACGGATTGTGCGGTCTTTAGGTAACTTGCTTCGTGTATGTGAATAAATAACTGTTGTACCTTTTCCGTACTCGGTGCTTTGCGAGAATCGCTGCAGTCAAAAGAGAGGTTTTGATAGCGTTGCGTGTGGCGGCGTTTTGCGTGCTGACTATACAGCTATTGCAGCGCTGTGCACGGCGTGTTCATATCAAACGTTTCAAGTCGAATTTCTGACCAAATATACGTTCACTTTGATATTATGTCAATCATACTTTCGTGATTTCAACTGGTTCCTCCTTGTTCTGAGCCTAGTTTCAAATTCTAGAGTTCCCAGCGCCGTAACAGCCATATTGCGCAGAAAGAAATAAGCACGAGGAAAGACTAAAACCAGCTGCCACGATCTTATGAAAGCAACGAATGTAGAAAGGATATCATCGTACATTCTCACTTGCTGCACGTCTTGACACGTGAAACGTCGTGACATATTCAGATAAGGTTTATTAAACTTATATAACTTACATAGGATACTTCTAAAGCTATTGAGGGAGCCTTTTCCGACGAGGCTATGCTGCCGCAGAGGTATGACGCTCCAACCGCTTATTTCGACGAGCTCGGCGGTCCTACGAGAGCCAAACGGGAAATAAAGGGAGAACTTTGGGCGCTGATGGATCCTACAGGCATCGCGATGGTCTAACTATAACCAGACACACTAAACAAAGTAGGCTTTTCCTCTAAAAATGGTGCAACCTTCCAAATAAGTCACAGCTACGGAACCGCCGCTAGGTATTCCTGGTTTTGAAAGGACTCGCGATCGTTGGGGCATTTGCCATGCTTCCCTGCAATGACAACGTCGGAACCCAGCTTCCATCAGCGTATCTCAGAATACGCCAGGAACTATTCGCAGCCATTTCTTCAGTGTGTCGTGAACCGGTGAGTCCTGGGAATATTCTCTTCGCACCAGCCTCCACAACACTCTTACCCTTCCCGGCCCTTCCGTCCTCTCTGCTTTTTTCCCCATCCCAATTCCTCCCTAGAGAAATATGTTTCGAAGTCGAAGGAAATAAATATTGTTGCAAGCTCAGAGTTGCCTTCTGACGCTTTGGCACATTCAGCGACTTCATTGTTCGGCGTTTAACGTTTCAACATTTCGATTATCCATGCGTTTCGACGTTTGACATTTTGATAATTCGAAGTTTTGAACCACACAAATCACCTCTCTCTCTCTCTCTATATATATATATATATACGATATTCGAAACGTCGAAGATTAAATCTTCTGTTGTTGTTGTTTTCACCAAGGGTTTTTTCTTCTCAGTTATATACCCACGCGTTCGGCCTCCCGCCATCATGCCCGTTATATATATATATATATATATATATATATATATACGGAAGAAAACGCACCTGAGACGGTTCTGGAGCTTTTAAAACATATTATTGGTAAAGTTGGTTGACGTTTCGGCCTGGCTCAGGCCGAAACGTCGATTAACTTTATCAATAATATGTTTTAAAAACTCCAAAAACCGTCTCAGGTGCGTTTTCTTCCGTATATACTTTTCGTCATACTGCGCTACGTTTCTCTCTCTCTCTTTCTCTCTCTCTATATATACATATATATATTCTTTCCTTTTTCATGACGTACTTCAATATTTTGAGTCTTTACTTACCCCACGTTTAGGGCAATATATCAATTTCCCCAAGAACGGAGAGTTATCGCGCTCCCCTAGCTAGGAATACCCAGACTACGGGACTCGAAACCGGATTCTCCCCGAGTCAGATTGTGGTGGGACGGACCGTACGGTGGTCAGAGGACTTCCGTGACAAGCAAAAAGGACGGAAGGAAAGAGATACTTTGTTCATGTTTAATCTCCGATTCTCGGGACCCCACGAAGGATGTTTATGTAAAAAATAACAATACAAATACAAAAAAAAAAAATCTTTGCAGTGTTACAAAAAATACAAACAGGCAGCAACTTATTTAGGAGCCGCGACGTCGTGGAGCACCCAAACTATAGGAGTGTTCCGGCGTTCCCGCGGAACGTAAGGTCTAGGGAGGTTGATAGCTGCAACGCAAAGAAACAGATAAAAAAAAAAAAAAAAAAAACGCAGCCTACTTTGTTTATAGATAAAAACAACTCCGCCTTCTCCTTTAAAATAAGGTCTCCGACAACCCGACCAACGGGTAAATAAAGTTTTGCGCGAATGCCGCTCAAAACTGTTGTTTTCGGGCTGTCATCCACTCCGCGCAGCAACTCCGCATCGCACGTATTGTTTGCATGCCGTGCAATCGCCGACTTTCTGTTTCCGGCTTCCCCGGCGTCTTCGCTCACCACCGCTAGATCGCGGCGTATGAATACGACTTTGTGTTTCGGTCGACTTAAGAATTTTTTTGTTTGTTGGTTTAACTTAAATATTGTCAGAGAGATCGTTGTTCCCAAAGTCATTCCGCTAAAGAAGCATTCGCATTCTGCGGGACCTTACCCAATAGTAAAATATATTTTCCAAAAGCGTTCTGTGTGCAAATAAAAAAAAAAATGACCGCATCTCCACGTGGTGAAAGATGTTGATTGGGGCAAAGCTGTGGAGGTGCTGATGATACTGATTTTATTGTTCCTAGGTAGTGCTGATGGTGCTGATTTTTTTTTATTGCTCATAAGTAGTGCTGAGTTCCGGGTTGCGTTTCGACTTCATTATTACTGCTTTATGATCGGTGAAATGCAGAGGCAGTGCTTCTTCTAGCGGATCAGCTTGGATCCGCTAGAAGCCGTGGGAACGCATCCCCACCGCTTAAGTCAACGGTCCGTCTCAGAAAGAGAATATGTAGTATGGATCGTGGTTATATGCGCATTTGAGCATTTGACCGTAGTGCCCTCTTATCTATAAACGTTGAGCCAATGCATGCAAAGTTTAACGCGATTATATACGCATTTGACCGCAGCGCCCTCTCCTGTAGAGACGTTGAGCGGCTACAAGCAACGTTTCATCCATGACATCCCCAGCTCTTGAGTTACTACCACATCTCAGAGCCCCCTACTCGTCCCGCAGTCGCGGCCGAGTGGTTAAGGCGATGGACTAGAAATCCATTGGGGTCTCCCCGCACAGGTTCGAATCCTGTCGACTGCGCAGACATTTTTTTGTTTTTTAAGACAGATGGGATGGCAATCGATGTGAGCACGGACGCCGGACGGACAAGGCTAGACCCTAAGGAGCTTCGCCCCCAATAGATTAATTTGAGTTGGGAGTCAATCATATTTCTTCTGCTGCCGAGCTAAATCCTTAAAACAACGTAAGTTTTTTTTTTTTCTATTTACCCATTTAGACATCATCCAAACCAACTTTTCTTTTTTTTTTTTTTAAATTCTGGAGACGGGGCATGGCGATGACTTAGCATCTTATGGGAGTTGCTCCGAACACATCAACCGCACTTTTTCATAACTTGGTACCCATAATTAACAGATAGATGCGTGTATCCGGTAATGTGGTTCCTGACTTTGCATCGAACGCAGTCTCATCGAAGCCGTTTCATCAAACGCCGTTTCAGTGGACGCGATTTAATCAAACGCGGTCTCGTTAAGTAATTAAGTTTCACAAATATTAACTATAGCTTGAATTATAGTTGTAAAACGATCGTGAAATTGGTCAATATTGACTGTTTTATCACTTTGGTGTTCGAAGAAAATGTAAATTCCTCTTCTTACAAGTAGGCCCCACTTTCCACTTTTACGACGTTATTGTCCAGGTTGGGTTTTAATTTCAAGCGACATAGAGAATCGCCTCTTGTGGATCGTACTCAATCCGACGATTGTCATTTTAGCATTTTGTTTTGGGCAGTACACCGTAAAAATAAAAACATATGTCCTCGCTTAAATATGTCAGTCCCCGAAGCGCGTTGAAGGCGCGCGACCGTCGGTGGCTAAAATATCTTCGTCGGACGCAACTTTCTAGACAAATCCTTTTTGCCAATCTAACCATCATCTGTTTCAACACAGGACATGGTCGGCTCTGTATATAACCTCGGGTAAACTGAAACCATGGATTGTGCGGTCTTCAGATAACTTTGCTTCGTGTATGTGAATAAACCGCTGTTGCCTCCTTTCCGTACTCGGTGTTCTGCAAGAATTGTTGCGATCAAAAAAGATGTCGCCTTAGCGTCAGGTGGCGACGATACGTATGGTTGCTTGCATTTGGTGTGCACTACATGTTTTCAGATGGAACGTTTCAAATCGCATGTCTGATTGATCTGATACGTTCGCTTTGCTGTCGTTCTTTCGTTATTGAACAGATTTACTTGTTTCTAACTGCCTTTCTTTATTTTACCAGCAGAAAATGCATTTTCTTCACAAGTTTGAAAGTTACCATGAATCATTAATACCTATTTGAAACGCGAAGCAAGTTACACCAGCTGTTGGATATCAATATAAATGACGAACTGCGACACTTGGAAACGCGTTGTGGGGTTTTCTTGGGTATATGTTTTTGAAGTGCACTTCTTTTAAGGCTTGCGCATGACGTCATACCGAGTGGCTCCCCGACCCGCCCCAAGCGGCAAAGCTCGACGAGAGAAGAAGCGTCGCGCTTGCGAGACCCACTGGCGGCGGCAAGACCTTGTCTTCCAGGCTTTTCGCTCTTGGAGACAACGGCGTCATGGCGGGAATGACCGGCGCGGTCTTCAGCAGCGCATGTACGGGTCCTCCTCCCTCATGTTCGCCGGCGTGTCCGGTTGGCACCGTGGGTGGCCAAGCCTAAACGAGGGCAGTTCTTCGAGAGAGCGGTTTAACTTCTCGACGACGGGGTACGGCGCCATGTCCACGCCGAGGCGCTTGGCCTGGTACACCATGGGCACTAGGCAGACGTCGGCGACGGTGAGGCTGTCACCCACGCAGTATTGACCGGCTGTCTTGGCGAGCACAGCTTCCAAGGCTGGTGCGAAGCAAGAACGAGAGAAAAAAAAGTATTAAATTAGTAAATCAATGTATTTTTTCACGTGTATATTTTTTTTCAGTGCCGTAGGTGCCACCTTTCGCATTACGAAGTAAATATGTGGCACTTTTAAGAGGGTAAATCAGCTTTTCTCGAGGCTAAAGCGCTAAGGGACACGCTCACGGCCCGTTCACACTCTTGCGACCGAGTAAGACTGAGAGAGACCAGACCGGTTTTTAAGCCTCTTGTGATCTCTTAGGACCAGCTCCGCTGCAGTGCATCCGGTCCTAAGAAGTCGCAAAAGGCTTAAAAACCGGTCTGGTTTCTCTCGGTCGTACTCGGTTGCAAGAGTGTGAACGGGCCTTTAGGCTAAAGCCCTAAAGGTGTCTTACAGCTACGCCCTTTGGGCGTAGCTGTAAGAGAGACTATCTAAGGGTATTACAGGAACACGCTTAGATAGTTGGTGAACACCCAAAGACAGAACTTAGGGGTGTTACAGCAACACCCTAAGATAGGTGAACACGCAGACACACCTTACGAGTGTTACCGCAGCACACTTAGACAGGTGCCGCCTCGGTGGCTCCGAGGCGAGAGTGGCGGCCTACGGATCCCCAGGTGGCGGGTTCTAATCCCGACCGAGGTGCCCGCAATATGACGGTGGCTTATTGCGGAGAAGGCGCCGTGTAACCGAGCTTTCGGTTGCACGTCAAAAGATCCCCAGGTGGTCGAAATTAATCCTCAGTCCTCCGCTGGGGCGTGCCAGATGCCCGTCGTAGGTTTGGCACGTAAACCCCCCCCCCCCCCCCCCCCCCCCCCAAATTTGACCCTTAGACAGGTGAACATCGAAAGCCACAGCAGACAAAGGACACGGTGTTCGCTACAGATATGATGACAGGATTACTTGCGGGCATGCCTCACGCAAGTTTGAAGCATTCATACATACCTATGCTTCGAACCTATCTGCAGACAGCTTGTGTACGTACATGACCAATGTGATGGATCATCGTACAAGGTAGAAACACGTCTCAGAGGTCGTGTTTCAAATTTTACTCACCCTTAGACTAGGACAAGGGTTTGGTACCTCGGCGTTCCAAAACTTACCCGCGTCCAGCGCTTTTCACCCAGTGTTGTCACGTGACACGACCCGCCGGAGTAACTCGGATCCATTTGGGTTAGATTTGGAGACAGACAGTGTGTGCAGACTGCCTGTTGTGCTTCCGGTAGTGCTTCCGTACCTCAACCGTGTTTCCCATATTAGGGTCTTTAAGCAAACCGTTGCCGTGTTCCGCGTACCGCACTACCTTTGAAGCATGCTTTTAAGCGCGCGCCCGAGTATTACTGTGACCGCGGGGCGCGCACTTAATAGCATGCTTTAAGGGCTTCGGTAGCGGGGTGCGCGGAACACAGTGGACGGTACAAACCAAAACGCCAAACGGGTCCCGCAATATTGCGGCAGGCGGAACCCGTTTTAATATATATATATATATATATATATATATATATATATATATATATATATGCTGTAAACGACTCAATTTTCGCGGCCACACATTTTCGCGAATCGGGCCAAAGCAGAAAATTTGAAATTATTCGCGGGTTCTAATTTTCGCGAATCGAATGTAGCTTCCGTAGCGTTCACATATGGCCCGAATTGTTCGCAGGACATTTTTTTTTTGCGAATTGTAGGCGATTCGCGAAATTTGCGAAAATTAGGTCCACGCGAAAATTTAGCCTTTTACAGTATATATATATATATATATATATATATATATATATATATATATATATATATATATATATATATATATATATATAACTTCCGCCTGCCTTTTTAGCTGTGTTACTCATATGACTGCAAAGTGCTTTCGGCAAGAACAGGAAAAACTGTTATAAGTGCTATATCGACCACCAGATCACCTAGGCCCGTTTGCTCGAAGCGCTAACCATGGCTAAAGCACGGTGTAAGATAATACTCTTTAGGTGAGGACAGCGCGCTCCTCGCGACGTGCCCGATAAAGTTCGCTCTTCACTCTCTGTCACTATGGTTTGAAGCGGCGCCGGCAGGTGACTCGTCGACCCTTGGGCACGTACGAGACGGTTCGTGCCGCCTCATGTACCACACGCGCAGAGCTCCAGCGAGGTTGTCGCACGTTCAGAAAGACCACGGTGTACCGGGGTGTCATGGCAGCGAGCTAATTTTTTTCGCTCTCACACAGTTTCGCCGTTTGGCCGCCGGTGACACTGTCAGCCGCGGGCACGGTGGCAGCGAAAGATGCAGCCTTTCGGATGCCCGTCGAACGAACACTATCTGATTCCTCGCGCCGCGCGTTCAGCCCCGCCGTGTCCTCAGCTAAAGAGTGTATCCACTGATCTCTATGACAATTGCTGGATCGCGCTTCCCCGCACCGAAAATGAGGCCACCGTCGGCCATCTCACGAGATATGCTCCATACTCTCTTTCACCTTATGATGTACCGCAGGAAAGGCTACAAGCGCGAGCTCCTTGCTCTCGGCGGCACAAGCTCTCGTGCGTTAAGAATAGCTCCCAACGCTATGAGCTCGCGCTTCTAGCCTTGTCTGCGGTACAACATAAGGTGAAACGGAGTATAGCGCTGTCAAGTCTAGACAGTTACCATGGTTACCGTGTGTAGGTCACGTGAAAACAGAGGCAAAGGTCACGTGACCGCCGCCTTGACAACGCTTCAGCGGAACTCGTAAGATGGCCGACCGGTGGCCTCAATCGCGCAGTGGGCTCGAAGCGGGGAAGCGCGATCCAGCAATTGTCATTGAGATCAGTGAGTGTATCTTACACCATGGGCTAAAGTTAGGCGCAGCACCTAGGAAAGGGATTTTGAAATCACGTGACTGGCTCGGTAGGGATGCGGGGAAACATGGCGGTGCCCCGGTAAATGAGCGCCACTCGCTTTGAAACTAATACGTCGTTGTAGCTGCAATATCGGGCGCGTTAGTCAACAATGAATGGTGCAGGAGGCTTTCGCTGCCTTAGCTCACTTAAATCGCAAAGCATGAGCAAAGACCTCGCCGCATTTTTTAAATAGTCCTTCGATTCTGGCCATTCCTAAGCCTAAATGAACGCCATAATTGTCGGCATGGCAACGCCTTTGGAAAGTGGATTGCCTTGACTCAATCGGCCGGGTATTGATAGCACACAAAAGCAGAGAGCGTCTCAATAGACCTTTTCCTAAATTTGCCTAGCACCTAGATGCATGCTAAGAGCGTAGTTACACGCGTTGCACGTGCTGGCGTCTGCAATAGTAACTGTTCTAAAGCAAAAAGTCTAAAACAAATTTTGTCTTGCACGCGCGTTGTGTCAAAATTTTATTATGATTATTTACTTCAAATCTTTTTTGAGAGGAAGGCCAGCGCGCGCGGACCGTAGGATTACACGTCCAGCGTTCTTCTCGATGGTTGGGTAATCTAGAAAAAGGTCTATTGAGACTCTGTCTGCTTTTCTGTGCAATCAATACCCGGCCGATTGAGTCAAGGCAATCCACATTCCAAAGACGTCGCCATGCCAACAATTATAGCGTTCATTCAGGCTTAAGAATGGCCAGAATCAAAAGACCATCTAAAAATTGCGGCGAGGTCATTGTTCATGCTTTGCGATTTAAGTGAGGTAAAGCAGCGAAAGCCTCCTGCACCATTCGTTGTTGACTAACGCGCCCGATATTGCAGCTACAACGACATATTAGTTCCAAAGCGAGCGGCGCTCACTCACGGGGGCACCGCCATGTTTCCCCGCATCCCTACCGAGCCCAGTCACGTGATTTCAAAATCCCTCTCCTAGGTACTGCGGCTAACTTTGGCCGCGGCTAGCGCTTCGAGCAAACGGGCCCAGATGGCCATACTAATGATTTTGTTTTCTGTTTTGTGAGTGGTTTTCTTATGACATTAACGAAAACCATTATAATATTAGCGATCAACCTTCCAATATTCTTGTGCCTAAACGTGAAGCCACACTAAAAAAAAATGAAACCTTTTTCATTTCAACATATAACAAGTGATAGCTTAAATGCTTTCAAATAAGATATTTTTTAAATTAATTGGGATCTACTGTTGTCTTAGAAGACGTAAACTTAGCTTATGATGTGTCTTAGTGAATTTCCCACTGTTTACAAGCGCCAGTTTCGTATAAAGCTGTGGAAGTGTCAAAAAAGATCCGTAAGCCATGGGTGACGCCCGGACATTTGTAAAATATCAACGTAAAAATATACGAATAATTTCTCATAACAAGAGATCGTTATCAGCTTTTAAGATTCAAATTATAACGGAATCAATTAACAAAGCTACTGTGTAATGCGAAAATCAGTTTATAATACCCACGTTTTTCAGACAGAATCTAGACGTACGAATGCTATTTGGAAAAACTTAGAACTCAGTTTCAACTTGTATTCGAAATGGGCAACCTGTCGAGAAAATTATTCCTAAAGGACTGTCTTCGGCGGTCGCTCGCTAGCTACCCTACGTTTACTTGGCGAACTTGGGCAGTGACTGCAGTCAAAATGGCACGTCTAGCAATTGCTTAGAATATAGAAATAACCATTCCTTTGTTTTTAGCCCGTCACAAATTTCGAGGTACCTTATTTTTATTTTTATGCAGTTGAAGAACAGCAGTAGCTGTGACTGTAATGATTCGCAAATTCGACGTATTAAGTGCGTACATGAAATAATAACACCCTGTCTATGTCGCACTTTCAATCTGTCTTTAAATCCAGGATGCAGATGGCAAAAGTAACAGTTCTGCATAAGAAAAGAGATACAAATATTCTCAGTAACTTTGAAATCCGTTCTATCGTCCCGTTATTCTCAACAGGCCTGGAAAAAATATTGTAGACTCGTTTAGTACAATTTTTCGACAAGCATAACTTGCTGACCTCCACACAATTTGGATTTAGAAAAAAGTAAAAAAGACAACATATATATATATATATATATATATATATATATATATATATATATATATATATCTGGAGGAAAATAAGTTGGTGCTGAGTGTATTTATTAATTTCACAAAAGCCTTTGACTTCATTAATCATGATGTATTACTTCTTCAAATCGAATGTTACGGTATCCGTGGTTTGCCCCTACAGCTTTGAAAGTCCTACTTGCAACATCGGAATCAATTTGTTTCCATTAGACGATATTTTTCCAATTTTAAGCCCATTCAGTTATGCGTCCTATAGGGTACCCATCCTTGGGCCGTCCTTTTTTAATATCTACATAAATGACATTGTAAACATAAGACCTGCGAGATTTATAATATATGCGGACGACGGCGGCATTTTTTTTTCTTCGAATAATTGCGATGATCTTGTTAAGAATGCCATATTACCTTCACCAAACGTTCCGCTTGGGGAAAGGATAACTACCTAAAAATTAATACTGATAAAACAAAAACCAAAAATTTTCGTGCAAAAAATTAGTGTTTTTCAAACTATAGAAACATCGTACTTGACTCCACCCCAATTGAAATCGTTAGTACTTTTAAAAATCTCGGTGTTATTTTTCCCTGAACGATTGTCGTGGGACAGTCATATTAACCGTTTACAAAACTGTCTAGTATTATAGGACACTTACCGCAAACGAGACGCACTACCATTTAATGTACAACTTGTAAACCCATATTTCTTTATTTCAATCCCACTTAAACTACTGCAGTCTCGTCTGAGGTAACACCGCATACCGTTACGAACCTGCAAAAAGTATGTTTTTTGCAGAAAAGAAGGAGGTAAGAATAATGTAACGTGTCTTATGACTCGCACACAGAGAGTTTGTTTCATGATCTTAAAATACACACACACAAAAAAGGTAACCTTTATGAATATACATTAAGTATGAGTTTAAAGCTAGAAAAACGTAAACGTTCTACATTTCTATCAAATCTAGCGGAACTGATATCCAAAGAGCATATTTTAACTCTAAATGTGGAATATGGAGGAATTATGGTACGCAAATGCTACATTATATCGTACCTAAAGTGTTAAATTTCCTAAGACAAAATAAGATTTGTATAGATTCTATTCCCAACAAGGACTTGCGTTTATTTCATTTGCGCTAGTGACTGTCTTTATTTTGCAGTAAAATTGCTTTTTGAAATGAGTTTGACAAGGTACATTTTTTTCTGTTATTTATTTTGCGTGTGTGTGTTTATTTCTTTTCTTTTTTCCCTTTCTTGTATTGCCGTAATGCACTGTATGGGACTGACGGCTGGTCAAGCCTCCGCTGAGGCTTTTTCTCTTTTTGCTCTACCATATTTCATGAAAAATAAACATTATTAAAAGCATGCAGAAGTGTTTGGACGAGCAGGACAGCCAGCGCGCAGGAGACGGGAAGGTTGAGCGAGAAAGGGAAAAACGCACATCACGGGCGGGAGAGGGGAAAAAGTCACCCTTTGTGGGATTTCTTAGTGGATTGGAGAGAGAGAGGGGGGGGGGGGTACCAACTCCACCCCGCTCAAGGTTGTCAAGGGGGGTGAGCCATTTTCTCCTGATCGGCTGAGGGGGTTGCTGGGCCCGGAGAAACGTCACGCTGACGTCGCCGTTATTCCTGGATTTCTCCGGGACCCGTTTTTGCGGCTTGGTTTGGACCACCCAAGTTCCTATACTTAAAAATGTCGTTGTGCGTTATGATGTGCCGGTTGTTTTCAGTGCTCCCAGCAAATTGCTGCGGTCGTGCAAGAAGGTTCGCTTGTCAGGAAAGGAGATGTGCGTTTCCTCATGGGGGAAGAAACATGTAAATCATTTTGTCCACTGCCATGTGGGCGTTGTGTATTACTAACGTAGCAGCTTGGGCGAGTTGGTTGCTCATATTAACACACACTACAGCGCACTAAAGCAAAAGTACACTCACACCGTGCACTCACTCCTTACACACGAAAAAGAAAAAAATCAAATTAACAGTGCGGTTCGTTTGATTTTTTCTTTCTTTTTTGTGTGTAAGGAGTGAGTGTACGGTGCGAGTGTACTTTAGCAGTAGTACACTGTAGTGTGTTGTGTATACCATTCCACTGTCTTGTGGTACGACTTATGTGGGCCAAACGGGACGTTGCATTAATGACAGATTCGAAAAGCACTGAAACTATCTTCGTACTACTATGTCTGACCATTTAGCAGTCCCTTGCAATAGGGTGTGGGTTCGCTCCTGTGTTTGAAAATACAAATATGTTAGGACGGTTTAAAGACCAGGAAGCGCGGGAGTCCCTAGAGGCTTTTGATATCAAAACTTTTGGTGATGGCTGCATAAGCCACCCGTCGCATGTTTTGACAGAAACTGATAGAGCATACTTATCCCGAAAAAAAAGAGGGGGGGGGGGGGGGGGGGGCGGGAGGCGCACGTCGAGTGCCCCCTCCCCTTCCCCCCGCCGGATGCGCAGCAAGGGAGAGGGCTAATCGTTGGTTTCTGATATCCTATCAAACTTCCAGTAGTGAGTAAGCACTTGTCGATCGTACGTGTCCTCTTTGTTTGTCCTGGTTTTATGTGCGCTTTTTATTTCAAGATGAACCACTACGAACTAGCCCAGCTTTCGACGCGGCACCAATAGAAAATCTGCCTTTTCTCCCTCCTCAGTCTGGGGAACACTGCCCAGAAGGTTTTCGGTGTAGAAATCGTTCCGTACCTCGAAATCCTTTGTTGATGTAGTGGAGTGCCCAGCCACTTCGCTTCTCTTCATCCAACCGAAAGAGTAGACTCTTGTTCTGTAGCGGATGAATTCCTGACACGATCAGTTCCGCAATGGCGCGGGCCTGAAATTGATTTATAGCCCGTTACGAGCTGTACGCGGTCGATGTTATGATCGACAGTTCTGATAGAGTGCACGCGATCGTCCCGGATATATTGTATGGCTGTTTGTTAAATTGTCACAAACCCCGAGTGTAGTTCTAAAATGGGCGCAATCTCAAACTTTCACCAAAGGTGTAATTTAGTGGTGTGATTTCCCCGGTGAAATTTCAATGCGTAAATTCTTTCCTGCAAAAAAAAAAAAAAAAATTCAGGTTACCAAGCATGTTATTGTCAAAGGCGGACGTGTTCGCAGACGACTGAGTTAAGCCTGACTAAGATGGTACGATTTTACTTGCGATTTCGAAGCTGCGGCGTTAAGCCCAGCAGCCTTCACCACGAATTTTGTTTTGTTTTTTGCCGCACCAGGGACCTTGCAATTGCGGAATCGGAAGCGAAATCGCACCATGTGAACCAGGCATCAGCAAAGGTAGAGAACTTGGTTGTAGAGAGGGTCCGTCTCACACCATGGGGCAATTTATTTGCAATTTATTGGCGGACGCCTCCGACGAGTGTTGGTCTCAAGTGCGCGTGCGCTAAGTTTTCAAGGTCGCAAAGAGGAAAGCAGGCGGAAAGGCGGGGGACGCTCACAGGCGACCAACACGCTCGTCACCTGCTCGTAGCTCGTATTGCAAAGGCGGCGACCCTGATCCTGATCAATAGAAAAAAGGCGTGACACTGATCAATAGAAAAAAACTACGCTTCGAAACTGAAAAAAAAAAAATAAATAAAGGCACCACTAGAATACACATTTAGCGAAAATGTGAGATCAGGGGCAAGCACCGATCTTTCCAGGCCGGCCTCAGGATTTCTGACTCTAATATTATCAGCCAATTACTCTCTTGTGATACATTATCCGAGCGTAGCTAAGCCGATCGTGTCCTGAAGGACGCCTGACCTACAATGACGTCAAACGTATTCCCCCATAATGTTTTTTTCTAAACTCACTTTTTGACGTAGAATGAGGTCCTTCGGCAGCAATTTTGGCTCCGGGTATCTCTCGTCCAAATACTCGATGATGGCGAGCTTTGAAAGAAGTTATTCACAACGTCTATTAGCATGCGTATTCCTTAAACCGAGCGGTTGGCACCGCGAATGTGCACAAGCTCACTTTACGAAGAGCCACACGAAGAGATGCACCAGTTCCTGTAATTACGTCTTTCGCAAATATAGTTCAACTGAAAACACTATAAGCAAATTTTAGATTTCCGTGAACAATTAGATGTTGGTTTACATACTTGCGTCTCAGTGTTGCACAGTGTGTTGCAGCGTCTTGCAAGAAAAACAAAAAAGAAGAAAAAACTAGCACCATCTAGCGCTAGCTCTAGAACACTTCCGATCATCGTATATTTCTAGTTTCTTAAGCATTACTCCTGTACACCGTGGTCTTGAAAAAAAGTTTGACAATTTTTTAAGCGGTCATTTTTCATAGATAGCTTTGCAGCTGCGATCTCGCAAATATTAAGGCACCTTCATTCTAGTTTTAATTAGAGATGCCGCAATATTTCGGCAATATTTCCGCAATATTTTAATTAGAGATGCCGCAACCAAGGGCTTCGAAAGAATCGCAAAATTTCAAAACGTCAAAACTATTACAAAAAAAAAAGTGTACGATTTTTTTATTTTAAAAATTTGTGGCGCTGAAAAATACGATTGCTTTCAAACTTACGATATTTTTTTGCGCTATGAAATTCGACGTCTTTGAGCTTATCACGCTAAGAAATTCGAAGCTTTTCAAACTTTCGAACCTATTAAGTTCAAAAGGTCGACGAACTTCGACTTTCTGAACAAAAGTTCGACGAAGTTCGAAATAAGTTCGCCCCCATAGGTTCGAGTCAACAAATATAAATAACGCATACTGTCAAGTGAAGTTGAAATCGCACTGGAGTTCCACCGCTGATCGTGCCACAAATGACTCGCTTGTGAAGCGCTGTATGATCACTTTGGGGTGGAACGGAGTCATACTTGACACCTTTTTCATTCGAATTCCACGCCTCTCCCGCGCACAACTCCGAGGGTTGCCCAGAGGTAACCTATCGGCCAACAGATCCCTGATCTGCTGTGGGCTTGAAACTCAACCGCGGCGCTTCGCTGGGAGCGTCCTTCATAGCATTAGTTGTTTTTAAATGAAAGTCCCCCGCTTTCCTTGAGTCAAGTAAAAACGCGACGCCGATGCGCTACAGCGAACGCTGAATTGGCGCTTACAAGAAACGAATGCGCCGCTAAACTCTGTTTTGCTCGGACAGAGTGTGACCGCTCGGACGGCAAATTCCCGGACCTGGGCGCTCGGCGTAAGGATTTTGTCGATCGTTTCGCTAGTCGCACTCTTCCACCATCATTTTGAATGAGCGTGATTGAAACATCACGTGCACCGTATTTTCAGTCACCGAGAGTTACTTCAATGCATTTATCAGGTTTGTTTCTCGCGACCACCGCCAGGGTATTATTTCCGGCTTCTGGTTGGTCACATCCGAATTTCTGAAGACGCCCTGGAACACGCCCAGCCCGCCTTCGGCCAATGGCGCCGCCTCATTTGTCTCCTATACTTCCCAACAAATGGCCAAACTCTCTACATATACGGCTTTGAGAGTGGCCAATGTCTCCATTCATCGAAGAAGAAAAGTTCCAGGCAGCGACAATATGGTTAGCCCGATAACGACCGGTTTTCACCTAATAAACTGTACTGTAGGGGGCGGGTGGTCCCCTAATTTAGTCTGGCTGCATCCTCTTTAACTTTGCCTTGTGTCGGGTACTGTGCCAGTTTTCAGTCTTTTTTCCACCCCACGGGTCATTCCGCTGAAAATAAACGCACAGAACAGCTAAAAATATTTGGGAAGCCTGGACGTCTTTATATGCATGCGTTGTCCCGTATATTTGGTTGTCTTATGCCAGCCTTGAATTTAGGCTTCGTTTAATCGCATTGCCACTAGTTCGCAAAGTAGTAGTAGGTTGCGTTCACCTGACCGCCTCAGGGCTTTTCAATGAACTGTTCATCCAGTTCAATGCTTTTCTCACAAGTTACGACAAATACCGAGTAATACAGGTACCGCAGGGTTGAGAAGGAAAGAGTAAATTTACGACATAATGGCAGTGGGCAACTTTTTCCATAAAATTTGTAGCACATTTTGCGATATTTTGTAGATTTATTCATAAAAAAAAAACATTGTTTAATCTCTGGAATTTGATTTACGTCCGTGAAATTCAGTCTTCGAACTTAAAATCGAAACTTCCTAACTTTTCAACCTTGTACTTCGACAAAATTGAAAACTTCGAATATTTCACATTTGAAACTTAAATAAATTCGAAATGTCTGAATTTTTCAAACGGTCTGTAAAAAAAAAAATTAAAATCTTTGAGCTCGAACTTTAAGAACCTTTACATTTTCAAATTATTTGAATTCGAACCTCAGCGGGGTTCTAAAGTGGCGAATTTCTCAAATTCAATCTTTAGCGAGGTTCTAAATTTTTTATATCTTACGAACATAATTTTTGGGAGGTTCGCGGCATCAATAGTTATAAAACGCAGTTCCATAAGAATTTAATAGATGGCGACAGTGTTTTCTCTTAGAGGCGGTTGCAAGAAAATACGACGCGCTCGAGCACGCTCAAATACAAATGTGTGAACCAGCCTTCCGCACTCAAACGGAAGTGTGTGAACCAACCTTCCACACTAAAATGCAAATCTGTGAACTACCTCTCCGCATCCAAGCGCAAATGTGGGAATCAGCCGTCCGCACTCAAACGCAAGAATGTAAACCAGCCTTCCATACTCACATTCAAATATGTGAACCATCCTTCCGCACTTAAGCGCATGTGTGAACAAGCTTCCATACTTAAGCGCAAGTCTATAAACCAGTCGCGCACTCGAACGCAAGTGTGTGAACTATCCTTCCGCATTCAAACGCAGGTGTGTGAACCAGCCTTCCACATTCAAGCGCAAGCGTGTGAGCCAGCCTTCCGCATTCAAACACAGGTGTGTGAACCAGCCTTTCACACCCAAGCGCAAGTGTGTGAGCCAGCCTTCCGCACTCAAATGCAAGTGCGTGAACCAGCCTTCCTTATCAAAAGGCAAATCTCATTCAAACGCAAGTGCGTGAACCAGCCTTCCGCACTCAAACACAAGTGTGTGAACCAGCCTTCCACACTCAAATTCAAATGTGTGAGCAGGTTTCCGCGCTCAACCGCAAGTGTGTGAACCAGCCTTAAAGGAGTGGGACATTATACCGATTGTGATAGCTGTTCGCCGTCGATGTCGAGCACGGGGACCTGGGCCATGGAGTTCAGGTTCATAAATTCCGGGGAGTGCTGCGGGTGAACGAAGACAATGACGTCATCAACAGAGATATGGTTGTACACAGGGGTGTCTTAATTTGCTCAAAACAGCAACTCCTTGTTATGCTGTGCACCGGCTTTTTGGAGTGAATGCTGGAACACGCGCGAAAAGTCACACGAAAATCGGAAGACAATTGGACAATGTGAAAATTGTTTTAAGCTCTTTTTCTAATTTATTCGAGGTACCCTTCAAAGCTCGAAAGCATTACAAAAAGGGGGGAAAGAGGGGAGGGGTACATAATTCAAACAAATATACACAGCCATAAAATAAAAAAAGTACATATATTACAGCGTGCAAACTTCAAAAATGGTTTTGTTAGAAGCACATTCAAAAGTTACGTACCGCAAACCCCCTTTTGTGGTTCGCCTCGTGAGAAAGAAAAGATATGGAACTGCATTTTCTAGGCTCTGATTTTGGTGCGTTTTTTGGTAGTTTTCGCGTGTTGCAAAGCAACCGGCGCAAACACGTAGCTTCATTTAACGTCTCATTTGCATAAAAGCGCGTGCAAATCAAACACTAAATGAAGACACAGGCTTGCGCCAGAAACTTTCGACAACATTGTACAGAGGCTTAGGAACGAAATATAGGTCAGCAGAATGCTTAGTCTGCCTCTTCGTCTCTGTGAAGTTGCGGGCATCGGGTGAAAGTATTCGAAGAAAGATTGTCGAGAAAGCAGGGACTTAAACCGAAATCTATAACGTGTCGGTTAAGGTTAGGTTTACCGTTTTCTGTTGATATCGATTTCATTTCGGTTTTTTTGCGGTATTAATTTTTCGCGGTTTCGGTTACCGGTTACACGTTCTTGAAATTTTTTTTTCGGTTTCTCCAGTAATTTGTTTTATTGAAATGCTAGAAAACCTTTTTATAATGAACGGTCTAAAGTAGTCCCAAATATCCAAAAGTTATTGTTATTGTGAACGTCCCGTTCACAATAACAATAACTCAAAAACGTCTTAGTACGTCTAATTGGTCAAAAGTTGCACACGTTTGTAGCTCCAACACTTGTTCACTGGATCCAATAGCATTACTTAGTTTGATACCCAAGCACATATGTTATCCCCGCTACTCGGGAATCATCGCATTCTATATAACGTGGAGACTCAAGAACAGACAACCGTTTCGCTGGTGTCCACACCCGTTCTAACCCGCGCTCGTCCTGAGCGCGCGCTCGCTTGACGCGCCTCACGAGCCATCTTTATTCTCCTCTTTTTCAATCCCCACATCATTCCCCCTCTCGGGGGGGAGGGGGGGGGGGGGGAGGGAGGGAGGGAGTTTCTTAATCAGGTGGTTTTCGTTGGTCCCCTCCCAAAGGAGACGCCATGATGGTGGAGTTTTTGGCAGGGGGCATAGTGATGCCGTGAGTCCAGTCACTGCACAGCCTCTGTCGACGATAGGGTTGCGTTGGGAGCTGTGCCTCGGCAAGTGATGCCGGGGTGGCCAGGACAGACGTGCTTTGTCGGTCACGACTCGTCGGTGGGGGGGGGGGGGGGGGGGGGGCGGTTGGTGAAGTCTTGGTGATGGGCGGTCGTGGTACCCCTGCGCAGCGCCAGGCGGCGCCGCCTCCGACGCACAGCGGAAGCCCCCCGACATTTTCCATGCGGCCGGGAGTCTAAAGTGGCACGGCAAGTCGTCGCACGCTTCAACGACCATGGCTTGGATACGCGCGCTGCTGGTCGTCGTCGCTCTGGCCGCCCCAAGAGATGGCTTCTATGTGGCGAAAGATGGGTTGTATGTTGACTTAGCGGAATGGTTTGAGTATTCTTTTGCTTGTGAGGGTATAGACTCTAGAGTTTGATGTGGTGGTTACATTTCGTCGTCGCTTCGACTGATGTTCGCCAGTTCTGGTGGTAAGGTTAGTGTTGGGCGCAAGCGTTCAGGGCAGGCACGGCCAACAGTAAGGAGGGCGGCCTCGATGTCGGCAGGTGTGAGGGCCCGTGATTCAGCCCGCACCAGCGCCCGCTGGCGGTCTTGTCGGTCGTGGTGAAGTGCTCCTTGATGATGTCGTTCGCATGAAATGAGTGGGACGCGGAAAAGTTCACAGATGTCGGTGTATTCTTCATCGTCGTAGGCGGCGGGCAGATCTGCAGCACAGCGCTCCGTCAGTGTCCGTCGCCGGAAGAGATGGGGAACGTCCTCTGGGGACGTGTGGCACTTGAGGCTGGTGTTCCCAGGCCATCCAGGACGCGAATGTGACCATTCGCCCGGCCTCCATCGCGCACCAGGTGGCAGCCTCGGCAGTGCGTGGCGGTTGCTGACGGCGGTTATGTCGCCTGGCGCGGCGACAGTGGCCTCGTGGGGTGAATTGGGGGCGTAGGGGGGAGCGGCTGCGAGGCCGCCTGAATGAATGGGTGTTGGTGCGTCCAGGTGGCATGCCTGGATAGAAAATAACCACGAGCAACGATCTTTCGTGTGGCAAAAATTGACAGGGAACTGTGTTCCTTAGGACATTTCTAAAGGGTGACATGTCTAGAAATAAACGGCTTCAGATCACAAATGTTAACGGGTCCAGTTAACGACCCGTCTTCGACATGTCGTAACCTATACACCAAACGTGATACCCGTGAAACAACTTCCAAGTGACCTTCCCAACGAGGAGCTAGCGATGCCGCGAACCCCTTTGCTGCATTACTAAGCGGGTGCACGCGCCGGAGAACGCAGTCTCCTATTGAAAATTCTAGGGGTCTCCTGCCTTGGTCATATTGGTTCCTCTGATCGAGCTGCGCTAACTCAATATTTTGTCGAGCCACTCGCACAGCGTCGGTGATTTTATCACGAAGTTGTTCAATGAATCTCGCGTACGAAGTGTTTGGTCCCCTATTGTCCTCAGAAAAGCTGTTCTCGAGGGGAAATCGCAGCTCGCGTCCGAAGTTTATTTGGGAAGGTGTGAACCCTGTCGTACGGTTCTCCGTAGTACGAGTGGCGAAAGCCATTTCCGGGATGTAATTGTCCCAGTCTTTGTGTCTCTCGGTGTACACCACTAGCATTGCTTTGAGGTTTCGGTTGACTCTCTCAGCTATGTTGGCTTTATGCTGGCTTGAGGGTGGTAAGGAGTGGTGCACTTGTGCTGGATGCCCAGTGTTGTGCAACAGTCCTCAAAAGCCTTACTTGTGAAGTAGGATGAGTTGTCGGAAATTAATTGGGAACAGAACCCGAAGCGGGTGAAGGTGTCCCTCAATTTGTCCCAAATCGTCCTGGAACTCAGTTGGCGGAGAGGGTGAAGCTCCACCCACTTTGAGAAGTGGTCGGTGACTACCAGGAGATACCTGTTTTCTTCGGGGCTGCGTGGAAAGGGACCCATTCTGTCACATGAAACAATCTCCCATGGAAAACGACTTTCCACTGACTGCATCAAACCAGGGGGTTTACCTCCCCTGGGTTTGGCTTGTTGGCAACGTAGGCAACTGTGTGTGTAGCGGAGAACATCCTGGCGCAACCTCGGCCAAGTGGAAACGCGACACAGTTTCTGGTAGGTTTTCTGACCGTCGCTGTGGCCCGCTAGCGCACTGTCATGAAAATACCGGAGGAAAGTTTGCCTTAATGTACGGGGTACAACCACACAAAAAGGGGACGTGGTGAGGTCGGCTTCGTCTGCCTGCGGTATGTAGTGAAGGAGGAGTCGAATTCTCGCTGTGCACATACGCGTCCACCGACCCATGCGTCCCGTTTCCATCGGTTTGATTGGGCTGAGTCGAGCACTGAGATACTTTTTGGCACATGTCGTCTTTTTGCTGGGCTTCTCGTAGCTCGTCCCGGTTCACAGAAAGACCCCAGGAGACTTCAGTGTAGGCAACAGCGACGAGTTCCGCTGTGTCATCCGCCTTTCGGGGGGGGGGGGGGGGGGGGGGTATTGGTGCTCGTGACAGAGCGTCTGCAGCGACATTGAACTTTTCTGGTTTGTATTCAATCAAAAAATCATATTTCGGTAAAGCCAGAGCCCAGCGAGCGAGGCGTCCAGCGGGGTGTTTAAGGTTTTTCAGCCATGTTAATGCTTGATGGTCAGTCTGGATTGTAAAGGTCGCTCCATCTAGGTACATGTCAAACTTTCTCAAAGCGAATAATATAGCTAGACATTCTTTTTCGGTTACCGTATAGTTACATTCGGCCGCGGTGAGAGTATGACTCGCGAATGCAACGGGCCGCAACGCTGCGTTATGTTCGTGGAGTAGTACTGCACCTATATCGTAATCACAGGCATCCGTTTGGAGGACGAATGTAGCATTGAGATTAGGAAGTCTCAGAGATGCAGTATCCGCAATAGCGCTTGCTAACGCTTTAAAAGCTTGTTCCTGAGCGGAAGTCCAGGTCCATGGAACCTCCCGGCGTAATAGCTGGTGAAGGGGCCGGGCCAAATCAGCGCAGTTGGCAATAAACTCGCGGTAGAATCCCGCCATGCCAAGGTACCGTTGTAAACTTTTTTTTTTTGTCTCGTGGCTGGGGAAATTCTATAATTGCTCTGAGCTTCTCTGCTTGCGGCTGGAGTGATCCTTGGTCGACCACGAAGCCAAGAAGCTCCACTTTGGGTGATGCAAGTTGCACTTTTGACGGGTTAATTGTGAGACCAGCTTCACTCATGCGCTTCAGGACGACCTGCAAATGGTGAAGGTGGTCCTCGATAGTATTAGAAAACACTACTACGTCGTCCATGTAGGCCATTGCATAGTTAAACTTTGCGTCACCCAAGACTGTATCCATGAGCCTCTGGAAGCTCGCAGGGGAGTTAGATAGGCCGAAGGGGAGTCTGACAAATTCGAACAGACCCCTGGGGCGAACAAATGCTGTCTTAGGGACGTCATCTCTTGCTACGGGAATTTGCAAAAATCCTCTACTACAGTCGAGGGTTGTGAATATCCGCGCAGACCCGAGGGCATATAAAACAGACAAGGCTGATGGAAAGGGGTATGCATCTCGCTTCGTGACCGCATTCAGAGGACGGTAATCTACGCAGAGCGTGCGGTGCCATCCTTCTTGGGTG